AGCAAACGATTCACATAGCTGGCACCCAGCGCCGGCTTATCCGCCGACTGTATGAGCCGATTGAAGCTGGGTCGCCGCTCGCTGGTGGGCGTCAGAAATGGATCTGCTTCGATGCGTTCGCTGACGACATCTGGTATGGTGCCCATCGAGCGCATCTTCTGTATGGGATAGTGCGATGGCGTCGCTGGACTCTCCTGGCCGCCATCCTGTCCAATGAACTTGGCATTGCCCACCTTCGATTGATGCTGATGGTGTGTCTGATGCTTGACAAACAGTTTGCCCGACGAACTAGTCGATGTGGTCGAATTCTTGCGCAGATTATAGCTGTGCATGTAGAGATGGTGCTGGTGGTGATGATTGTGCTGCTGGACACGCATGCGCTCCTCCAGCGATTGATCGCGTATGCGTTCAAATTCCTTACGCACCGCCTCCTCCGAGTAGTCGTCGAAGCACAGATTATTCAGCGATTTCATTTTCGGTATTTGTGCATGCTCGGCCAGCTGTTTGAGACGCCGTGGTGAATTCCGATCTAGCTCCATGGAGGCCTTGTGAAATTCCATTTCAAGTATGGACAGATTCTCCATGGACTTGATTTTGGCCACACGCGGCGTATGATAGTTCTCCTCCAAGCCCGAATCATTATCACCTGAATCCTCTGGTACATATTCGTCCGATTCACTAGTCGTCTCGGCGCTATCATAATACTGCGTCGCCTGCAACAACGAGGGCAGCGGCATCTCCGCCATGGGCGTGAGAAAATCCTCAAAGACAGACAACTGGTGCTGCTGCTGCTCGCCGGGATTCAATGTGGCATTCGGTGTCTGATAGAGCTCTTCGCTCTCATATTCGATGGTGGTGCTGAGGAGGCCGACAGCTGCCTGCGGCTTGCTCTGTGGACCGACTTGATGTTCCTGCACCAGGCCCAGGCCCAGGCCCAGTCCGAGTCCCTGGGGCTGTGGTTGCTCCGCTTTGTGTCGCATCGCTGGTATATTCAATTTCATGGCATTTATAGCTCTCTGATTGAGCCTATTAAGTAGAGAAACGGATTTTCTAAAACGACTGAGGTATGTTTTTTTTTTTTTTTTCGACGTACGTAGAAATACATTGTTTTTGTTTTTTTTTGTTTTGTTTTTTGTTTTATAGATGAATGTTAATGTATTTTATATAGTTTTACAGTTGGTTAGTTGGCCATTTACCCGTTTATATATTTAAATTATATACATTACATATGTTGGTTATAAAAGAAGAAGAAAACGAAAAATTGTTAAACAAAATTAGCCAAAAGCAAAAGAACAAAATTAACTAAATTTAAAAAGGGTATTAAAAGTAAAAGCTACTATAAAAACCGGATTAAAAAAGCCCGCAACTTCCATAATATATTTTTTTATAAACTACATATATATTGATACTTATATATATAAGGACTAATTAAAAATGTGATAAATTTTGAAAATGAAAACAATTAAGAAACCAATTCCATTTGATGTACTTTAATAATGAGGCGAGTGAAGAGTCGGTAGAGTGAATGTTCTAGACAAGTCACAGTAGACAGATTAATATTCCTTCGGGCTCTTAACATATATTCAATATAGTATTTGATTATGGATCTTGTCTCATCTATTTCTTATGAGCTGTTCTATTTCCTCAGTCATGTATGCTGAACATAATGAAGAGATTTTCTAATCTGTAACCCAGCTTTGAGTCTGTTTGAGCCTTAGGTAGATATTTTCTTATTTTGTCAACTTATTTTCATGAACTTATCTGCCCATCAATCTTTCCATCTATACTCATTATTACTTAAGTTCGTCAGTTTTGCTAAACACTCATTCTGAACTCTCTTTAGAAGTTCTTCTATACTAGATTTTCTATAAGTTAATCTATTTGCAAACAATATTTTGTAATTTTCAAATATGTGTTCATTTATCCAATTTGGTAATCGTCTCTAAATATTTTTTTTTACAGCTGACCTCGACCCTTGAATATATACTTCTTTATTATTCACATTTATACTGCCCCTAATCAAAGCTTATCAATAACACTTTATTGCCTCAATCACTTTAACAACTTTTTAGTTTTCTATTTAGGTTCCTAGTTCATGTGGTGGTAAATGCAACCAAGCAAAAAAAAAAAAAAAAAAAAAGGAAAGGGAAAGAAATCCGTGCAAATGGCAGATGCAAACTCGTGACCTTTGAAGAGCTTCAAAATGACGTCAACTGATGAAATCACCAGCTGTGCAGAGTTGGCTATTTCTCTTTAAGTATTTGCTGAGTAAACAATTCTGCGAGCTCGACAAAATTTCTATATATTGCAGCTGCACGCGAATATTAAGCAAACAGACGCACGCTGAATTCAATTAAAATACATTTTCTTTTTTAAATAAATTTCTATTTGGTTTCTAATCTGGCTGTTTGGAAAAGGAAGTAGAGTTTGTGTGTGTGCGTGTGTGTGTGTGAGTATATATGTCAGCATTTGACCTTAAACTTAACGCAATGAGATATTTCTCCTAGTTTATAATATTATATATATATATATTAAACTAATTTAGTTAAATATAAAAAGAAATACAAAAAGAATTATCATTTGCCTAGACTATGTGCTAGTATTTAAATAATACTAAATATATAGTATTTATTTAGAAACTCGCTGATGTCATATATTTATATCTATATATAACTCTAACTTAGCTAAATAAAATATTCTAACTCAAAAATAAGTTAAGAAAATAAGATAGAAAGTTAAATATGTATTGTGTACAGTGTATGTGTGTATGTATGTGGGTGTGTGTGTGTGTTAAACAGTGTTGTCTAATAATACTGATTTGCAGTAGAATTTGGTTTAGTAGACATTTAGGGCGAATAGTATATGTGTATCTCGTGTGCGTGTGTGTGTCTGCATGTGTATTTGTTTAGACATGTCTCTTTTGTATAGATACGCAAAGAGAGCTTTAGCATATATAGCGCATATATAGTATAGAGAGGAGCATAACAAAGTTATAATATATTTTAGATATTCGATATTTAGAAATTAAATAGCGAATTTTGGCAACACAAATCAAATTCAATTTTAAAAGCATTATACATAGTTCAAGCTATACGTAATAAGTAAATGGGTATGAAGGCATTTTTGCTCTTGATTTTTGTATGTTTGCTCTGTGGCTGAAAACTTACCTAGCATGCCCCGAGTCACCCTCGGAGCTTTGCCTCGAATGTTGACTGTGCGAAAAACTACTATAACCCGAACCCTTTGACATCTGAGTGAAAGAGATAAATGAATACATTAGGGTTCTCTACAGATGAGAGATTGTTCGGCTTACTTGACTAGTATTACTGGAATTCCTGGAGTGTCCCATTTCCATAAGCGCCGCCGTATTAACAGCGCCCACATTAGCGCCTGTGGTGCCATAATTATTGCTGCCAATCACACCCAAGCCGGGCAGCGTTTGGCTAACCGTCACGGGCGTCGTGGCACTGGCTGAGGCAATCACATGCTGCTGCAGGTTGTCTGTGGTCAGCGTCACGGCTGATTCCGAGGACTCGGACAAGCCCGAGTCGGTGACAATTGCCGCTATCATGATCTGTGTATCGAGATCTACTACGAACATAAATGCAGAAAGTTAAGTGAATTGAGTTGGAGCTGCAAGTGAAGTTTTAGCTGGCACTCACCCTCATCCCTGGCGGTGGAGACGGGTCGCGTGCCCGCTGCAGTCACTGTGCTGGCCACGCCGCCCAGGGTGGCGCCGCTGCCACCCAGTGGTATGGCCGTGCCCCCGCTGCCGCTGCCCATGCTGGACAATGCTGTGGCCGTTGGCGTCTGTAGACTGCCACCACATGCCACATCATTGGCCAGATCATCAGCAGACGGTTTGCTGGGCTTGTTCTTCAAACTGGGCGTGGGCCTATCCAGCGCATACACAGATAATTAGCTCACAGACTCATACGTATTCATATCATAGAGTTTACTTACGCCTTGAAGAGTATATCACCGCTTAGCATGTGCATTTTGATGCTAACCCTCAGCATTGAGTTATCCAGTCGATGGCGTGCATCGTATCCCTCGAGCAGAAAGCGACGTGAGGTCAGACCGGCGCCGGCAAATTCCGCCAGATTTAGATCGATAAAGCCGAGCTTGTAGTAGCTGCGGCCGCCCTTCATTTCCTTGCGGATGGAGATGCGCAAATGGCAGGGATCTAGGACGCCTGTGGAGGCATTGGCGCTCATCTTGCAGGGAAACTCAAAGCTGCGATTCCATTCAACGCGATGATTGCGGACCTCCTCACTGGTTACATGAATGTTAATAAATTGAATATAAATAAATTTAAAAATTTGTTAAAGCTGTTAGAATTAAGTTCGATTATTCATTAAATGCTTTAATTATTTTTAGTTAATTGTTTGCCAATAGTTTTCATTACTAGTAATTAAAATTAAAATTTCTAGCAAACATTGGCTAGCTTTAATACATATAGAATCATTAATGTCGATATAAAATCGATAACGATAACGATAGATCTATGCATTTTTATCGACAACTCACCGACTGCTGTATTCCTGAAAGTTGCCACCGTCCAGTAGCCGTATCTTGGCAAAGAGCACCTCATTGACCAGAGCCACCTCGACCAGATCTTGCAGCTGGACCTCCACATTAAACTTGTACTTTTTCTTTTTCATCATAAAGGCCATGCCAGGGGCGCTAGGCCCAAGTAGTGTCATCAATTGCCTTGTCTACAAGCCGTTGCGTTGCGGCGTTGCCACCTAGTTCCCAAAAAAATGTGAAACCAAATCGGCTTTGGGCGGTCGCCAAGCACCGCCTCAAACAGGTGTCTTAAGCTGTAGAACTTTGACTCTAGCGGCTGCCCTGTTGCTCCGTAAACTAAAAAATTTCCCCTTTTCGTAAACTGTTGTGGTTGGCTTTGTTATTATTGTTCTCTGGCGATGTATCCTTTCTGTATGTTTACATAAATTTCTAATATTTTAAGTTTCCTCTCAATTGTTTTGTTGTGCTACTTGACAGCCATGTTTACAATTTGTGCATGGCTTCGGCCTTGAAGTCATACCATGCGTCCACCTGCAAGAATAGCCAAAGGGAAATCGGTGTGAAAATCAGTGTTAGTTTCTATATTTCGTTTTGTGTGTGTAACTTCAATAGATATATAACTTATATAGATATATAGAAAAGTCGGATGAAAATCGAACAGAAAAATCTTTAACTACCTAATCATTTTGTTTTCATTGTCTGTCAAAGTATTCCTTTCGAATCGATCCAAAATGTCTTTTACGACGGTCATGACAAATGGCAATTTACAAGTAAATTAAAAATATATTATTATTTCCCACATCATAAAACCTTTTTCAATCGAGTGCCTTAATAAAAATTATATTTTCAATAACCTTCGTTGAGCTCCAATCATTATTCAATTATAAATTGAAGAGTAAACATATTTTACATTTATCGAAATTAAATTTTGCAAACGTCATTATTATAAGTACAGTACAATTCTCTAACACTTGACTCTAATTATTCCTTCCCAGTATTTCTTCTCATTATTTCCTCTATCTGTTTCCTCCAAGTCTTTATAAGGTTTAGCTGAATGATCACACACTTTACTTCACTTCACTGCACTGCACGACTGACCCCCACCAGGGCTGGGCGACTGAAGAAATGCTGCAGCTGCTGCCCTTTATATAGGGCGACTTCCACTCAAGCACTAAGTTGCTCTCAAATGTTGAGCCCAACGCTAGGTAGAGCTCGTCATAGTCGAAATTTAAGGGACCAATGGGAGCACTCTCTGCTGCTTTAAGCACTCTATAGTCGTTTTACTTAAATATATATACGAAATGAATTCCGCTGCATACATATAGGCAACTTAAATGATCTTCTGGAGTTCTTCTACGTCCCTTGCTTGTATTAAGCAAACAGACGGAGAAACAGACAGACTTACATACAAATATAGACAGTTTCTTCTGTTGTTTAGTTCTCTTAAGGACTAGGAGTTTTGCATTTCACTTCAGAATCTCACAGAAACAACTCATGTCATAATCACTTCACATCATATTCTATTACAGAGCATCTTTAGGTCATTCATCCCTGCCAATTCCATCCAATTATAACTGTCATCAATTTCGCTTGTCATTAGAAAGACGAAGTTTTCGAGGCGCCTAATCGTAACGCTAGAATAGTCGTCAATCAAAACGCAATAAGGTGAGTAAAATTCATCGCATAAATTGATCTGCCGCACTTAAGTAATTAAAAGGGCCAACACGCAAGATACCATAAGTAGAGACAGCACAGCGAAAGAGGGAGACAGATAGAGATTGAATCGTGCCAAGATTACCTCATGATGCGTTCTATTTGGACTTGGCTGTATTTCGCGTGCTTTCCTAAATTATTATAAAAAAGTTCTTTATTTGTTGTCGGCTTTTGCAAATGGATGACGCATTATCATCAGCGTCATAATTGATGGTGATTTTATGTTTGCCGGCAAAGAATTTTAAGAATAGATTATTGTGAATATTGTGGTTTGCCATTCTTAATCAGTAAAATCATATTCTGTGATAAATTTACTGTTCATTTTCAGAGATCTAGCTGCACAATATTCGTATATATAGTTTATTTCTTATTTACCAAGCCTCCAAAAGGCTCTTTTTTATAATTCTCGGCTAATACAATATTAAAGTTAAAAAAAAAAACTTCTCTAAAATTTATAATTTTTTATATTTAATAAATATTTTGTGCACGAGCATACAAATCTTACTGTTGATTAATGTGCGACTCTTTGCTTCATTTTAGAAATCTATAAAAGATTATAACCTAGGAGACATAATTAGGAGCCATAACTATACATATATATATATACGAAATATATATATATTTTAATAATTTCTACATATCTTCAATACATAGACGGCTATTGCACAAAACCAATAAACTGCTTCCTTTCCGGAACGGGCCTAATCAGTAAAGATAAATAACAATTATTATTATTTATTTATTAGATAATATATAAAAAAATATAAATCTAAAAATTATTAAACGTGCTAGCTACGAGGGCCATCGACGTGAATGTTGGAAGTTAAATTGGATGAAAAATATTACAAAGATTTATAAACTTAACAATTAAATTAATATTTACAGCTGTAGGTTCGCTAAGTAGTGTGGTAGGAGGTGTGTTGCCGAAGAGTCTTATCCTCTCCCGTTGGTAGGTTGGGCATTGGTCAAGTATATGGTCTACCGTTTTACGTGTGTTGCTGTTGTTGTTACAGCTGCAAAGAGGAGGCGCAGAGCCCGTAAGTAGGTGACCGTGTGAAAATTGTGTGTGTCCAATACGCAGACGAACAAAAGTTGACCACTCCTGTTTTCGGGTATTGGGGGGATATTTGCTGCTAAGTCCAGTAGCGTTGTACGTTTTGTAGCGATGGTGGAAGTTATTCCAGTCGCATGAAGTTATGTTGGCGTGCCGAATAAGTTGTAAGCGGATGTCAGTCTCAGCTAATGGAATATGCATGATGGTTGGATATTGTGCAACTA